CCACCTGTCCACTCACAGCCTGACAAGAGATTTGGTCCACTATAGTCGGGAGGCCAATAGAGGCGGCAGCGCCTCTCAAGCGGGGCCATTCGGTGGGGCCGTAATGTCGGCCGAACATTTTGACGATCCGTGCCTGACATGTTTGAGTAGTCTTAAATGCGTGCGAAAGCTCATGCCGCAAGCAAGCCATATGGTGGCAGATACATACATGGGAGCTGGGTCCAAGTTGGGGTGGCATTTAGAGCGATGGGAGGCCCGTTCACCCTTTGGTTGCCAACACCGCCCCGCAGTCCAGGCAGGGATGCAAAGCCTCCGCTGGCGGCGGCCGAAGGAAGCCAGGCGGAACAAGACCCTTGGACGCACAGGACCGCCTCAATCTCTCCCTGAGTTCCTCATGACGCTGGTCGTCTAGGAACTTCGACCTGGCAGCGCTCTCGGCCTGCCGTCAGAACTTCTTCCCGAAGTTGGCCCTCAGCATCTAAATCCACCAAGATGGTGGACCTGTGGGGAGGTGCTCCTTGTCACGATTCATATGCATTCCCGGCCACTCCAGATCCTCGCAGCACAGGGCTGTCCAGGAGTCTGGGTTGGGGCGAGTCTCATCAAGCAAGGCCAACAAGCACTGAGGCGCCGATCGGAGGAACCTGGGCAGGAATCGCAATGTCCCCAACCTTAATATCAGGTCAACAGGCAAAATGCAGCAGGCAATGGGCACGCTATGGTCCGGAGCAGCGTCGCCCGCTACGGAGTCATATCCAAGCTTAGCTGCCTACCTAAAGGGATTCAAGTAGTTGTGCTGCTTAATGATGTTGAGGCGTGGCCAACTCAAGGCAGCAAAGAGCAACTGCGACGAGCAGAGAGAAACAACATACATCAGCTTGCCTTTAAGATCTACCTGCTTCCTGGGAGAAACCGTGCGCTTCAGCACTCCCAGAGGGGGGCCGCTGCTGATGACAACGATGCGCGAGCTCTTGTGCTGATCTTGACACTTCCCCAAGTGCTTGTAGGTCCTAGTAAGGCACAGGGCGATACCCATGGAGGGTACGAGAAGGCCTGTGGCAGCGGCAGTCTCCTCCTCCTCTTCCTCCTCCTCCTGCTCCTCCTCCTTACGTTGCAAGATCCTCTCATCACCAGGCCCCCCAGACCCCTCCTCCCGCGCATCTTGGTAAGTCATTCACGCTGTTCCAACTTCTGACGGCCTCAGGGCCAGAAACGGCCCCCAGGAGCAGAGAATCGTAGCAGAACTCTTTCCAACCTGCTCCATCCTCGATGTTCGATTATTATTTCAATCGGGGGAGTTAGGTTGCAACCCCTCGGAGGTTGAATTGTTGACGCTTCGCGTATCCCCACCAGCTCCCGTCCCTCGGGTGCTACTCTACACGCGTATGTGTGGCGCTGAGTCACTTTGGTGGTGCACTCCCAGCTACCCGTGTCTCCACCGTGTGGCTTTGTGCACGTTGCGTTGCCCTTACCAGTCGCTGGTTAAGGGTTCAGGCGCATCTCAGTTGTGGAAGGTTCTTTCCCTGGCTACTTTGTTCCACTCTCTGGATGCGTGTTCTGACGTCGCGATGGTCCGCTGCCGCCGTCAGGGCTTCCCCGCTGGACTGTGTCACCAGGCAGTCTGTGCCTACCCGTCAGACTCCCTGAATTGACGTCCCGCTCGGGACCATTCCCCACCCGTTCTTACTCGAACTGTTGGGAACGCCTTACGCGCCATTTTGGCTGCGCTCGGCTTCCTCGGTGCCTGTTCAGACTCCCTGGATGCGCCGTTGCATGTTCCTTTCAGGGGCTGCCCTGCAGACTCCCTGGATACGCACGCCTTGGCTCAGACGCCCTGGGTCGCTGCTGCCTGCCGCCTGACCGCGGCTCCGCGCGCGCCCGCCCCCCTTGTCGCGGCCGCAGCCCGACCGTGACCGCCTGCCGCTGGCGCTTCCGCCTGCGGCTGTAAAAAAAAAGAGTATCCCCACCAGCCATCGCAATGTGGGTGATCGGCCCCTGGCGCTGTCGCCCCCTGGTGCCCACACTATCTGCCGTGCTGGCGACGTCCATCCCCGCCAGTCAGGCTTGTTTTCCGCGCAATACGCGGTTTTCTTCGGCGCTCACGTCGTGACCAGGAGCCGGGCCCACAGGACGCCATCGCTTCCCTGGCCGGTTCGTGGCTGCTTGCTCGGGACTGGCGCCCACCACAGGATACGTGTGTGGCGTCTCGGAGTGGTCCAGCCTTCCGTCGGACGCTGTGCTTCCATCCTCGACCCGTCCCAGCCGACCAGGCAGGTTTACGCCGTCGACGCGGCCCTGGCCCTTGGCGCCCTCTGGCGACATGACCAGTGTGTACCTAGCCCTTCCCCACTACAGTGTCTGTGCGGATAGTGAGTGTAGGCCACTCTCTGCCTGCCTCGTCATTGCACCTACACCGTGGTGGACTGGCGCCGCGGCGCTACTCAGAATTCCCTTGCATTTTGCCACAGGTCTGCATGATGCTCGAGCTTCCCTGGGCGTTGCAGTTTAGCCAGCCAGCCCCGCGCCGCCGTTGCCACGGCTGCTGCCTTTGAGGGCTGGCCCGGCCGGCTCGCGCTGCGCCTTGCAGCTAATTAGGTTTGCCCGTCGACCCGGACACCCTGTTCGCCGCCTGCGCTTTCGCTCGCGGCGACAAAAAAAACGTATCCCCACCAGCGACTGTGCGGCTTCGGCCACCCTGGGTTCTCGCAGCCTGCCAACGCTCTCGCCCTTTTCGGCATCAATTCGACCTTGACCGACGGTCCTTCTGGCTGCGGCTACTGTGGTACGCGCCCAGTTGTCCAGGGTTCGCGCCCATGCATTAATCCTCGGCTTCTGACCCTGGTCGTCGTTTGTCCCGGCTTCCTGGTGTTTCCGACGCCATGCATACCTGCACGCTGGCAGTACGACTCAGTTTAAGCTGCCCCCTCCACTCGCCTGTCCGCCGTTGAGCTGCTGCGCGAGGCCCCGTTTAGCCGGTGTAGGCGAGGCCACACTCCGCTGCTTCAGGTGAATTCGTCGCTGCGTGCCCCGCTTTGACTGGACTCGCCGCCGGCGCGCTCGCCCGCGGCCGCTGACTAAAAAGAATCCCCACCAGCTACGACAGTCGGTTCACTTGGCTGCGGCCACCCTGGCACCTTCGTAGTAGTCCGGGGGCCTGCGCCCTTGCAACTAATTCCCACGTCAGCAGCAGTCCTTGGACGCTGGTCACCCTGGCCGTTAGCTGCTTCCGACGCGTTGCATGCGTGCACCGTGGCAGTACCGCTCGTCAGTTTACCGCCAGCCTTTTCCCACTCGTCGGCTCGGCCGCTGAGGTGCTGCGTGAGGCTCCGGCCCACCGCTTTGGGTTAATTCGTCTTTGGACGCCCCGCTCTGACTGGACTCGCCGCTGGCGCGCTCGCCTGCGGCCGCTGACTAAAAAGTATCCCCGCCAGCCTTTCCAGAAACGATGCCCAGGGGAGTTGAGGCGATCAGGGAAGTGGGGGAACACGCAGATGAACAAAGGGCGGGGGAAGCCGTCCGATACCCTAAAGGAGAAAGATGGTGGAGGAGAAGGAGGAGGAGGAGGGCGAAGAGGAGGAAGGAGGAAGAGACAGTGGACGAGGAGAAGGAGGAGGAGGAGGAGGAGGAGGAGGAGGAGGAGGAGGAGGAGGAGGAGGGGCATCTTGGCGAGCCCAAGGCCGTCTTTGAGCGTCTTGGGTGCCTCGGACATCCTCTTGAGGCCTCCCGGGGGTCTCCTGGAAGCTTCTTGGAGGTTTCCTGGACGCCTCTTGGGGCCGTCTGGGCGCCTCTTGGGGCAATGTTGGGGCGTTCTTGGGATCCTTAGGAGCGCTCTTGGGGGCCATCTTGGAGGAGATCGATGAAATAAGAGGGATTTCCTAATTCGCCGCCCCCCGCCCCCTCCCTGGGGAGCCCCAAAAGTCGCCTCTTCTGGCGCTCTTGGAGCGCTCTTGGGCGCTCTTAGAGCCGTCTTGGGGCTCTCTTGGGTCTCTCCTGGGCCCTCTTGGGCCATCTTGGAGATATCTTGAGGCCTCGAATCGCCATCAGAAGCGAAAAGGCGAGCAAGCAATACACATGGATGTTTCCCAGGTGTTGGAAGGATTCTGGCTTCTTGGAGGCCTCCTTGGAGGTCTCGGAGGCCTCTTGGAGCCATCTTGAACCGTTCTTGTGGCCTCTTGGAGCATCTTGGGAGCCGACTTGAGGCGTCTCGGGCTATCCTGAGCCATCTTGTGAGGCCCTCTTGTAGCCATCTTGGGCGAAGAAGTACCCTCTGACACCTCGCGGGGCGCCGCGTCCAGGTCCAGGGGAGAGGGTCGGGGGGAGGGGTAAGTAAACCCTTCCCCGAAGGGGAGGAACGGGGTTGGAAGAGGAAGCTCTCTAGACCCCCTACGCCCAGAGGGCTGGAAGGAATCAGCGTCGGCCTGGTTAGACTCTTGGTTCAACTCCAGTCTAATGCCGCTGAGTCCCGCTCAAACCTCGCCGAGTACTCTGGTTGAAAGCCGGTTGAATCCGGGGCGTAGCCTGGCTTCATTTGGCTTATAATCCGCTGAATATCGGGCTCAATTCTCAACTCCTGCCGCGAGGGCTTTCAAGGGGACCGGGCCTTCCAGGACGGAGGGCCCTGGAGCGGCCGCGTCCCCGCCAGATCTCAAAGATCTCCCATCTGTCTCAGTCCGATCCCGTCCTGGTCCTGGCTTTGTCTTCGGCGGCGGGGGGGCTCACCGTGAGCATAGAAGCGCCTTCGATTCTGATTCTCAGGGTTCTGGATGGTAACCCCACCCCTGGGGATCGAATCGACGCTGGGGTGTCGGACACCCCGTTGGGGTTCATTTGGCTGCAGACATCCTCCAGATTCGCAAACTCAGCCAGGCTTTGTTTTGACTTATGACCTGCAGGGGTAGGACTCACACGTCGTCGCCTAAGCTGCTGAATCGGGCTCAACTCGTTCCCACGAGGGCCCCGCAGGAGCTGCGCCTCCTGCGAGGGGGGGGCGGGCCCGCCCGATGCGCGTGTCCGTGCTCACGTGCGGCGGGCGCGAGCTGGCGTCGCTGGACGCCGCGCCCGGGTGGGGCCTCCACGACGTGCTGGCCGCGCTGCCGGAGGGCGCAGCGGCGCCGGGCTGCCACAGGCCGTCGCCGTCGTCGTCGCCGCCGTCGCCGCCGCCGTCGTCGTGGACGCCGCCGTCGTCGTCGGATTTTTGCGTTCTTCCTTTCTCAACATAGAAAAGCTTTGGAGCCTCCAGTGGCCTCCAGAGGTCTCCGGGGGCTTCAAGGGGACCTCAGGAGGTGGAGGCACCCCGGAGTTCAGGAGAACTCTGGCGAGGAGGCGTCGTTGTCACCGTTCGTCGTAATCGTCGTCGTCGTCGTCGTCGCCCGTCGTCCGAGGATCGAAGATCGACTCTTGGAGACTTTTGTCGCTGTCTTTCTTGCTATTTGAGCCTCCCGCGTTGCGTCATCGCCACGGTTGGACTCCCGTCGAATTTATTGACGCTTCGCGTATCCCCACCAGCACTGTTTATGCTCGCGCCGCCGCGCCATTCTGGCTGCGCTTACTTGCTGGTCGCCACCGGGATTTCCAACGCCACCGGGTTTGGGAGTATCGGTTCTGGCTCTTTTTCTGAGTGGTTGCCCGCTCGCTCGCTTCGCTTGCCTTTCTTTTCCTGCTGCCTAGTCGCGGCCCGACTAGTATTCGGACGGCTTTCGGCCCGCCTCGCGAGCCTGTTGACCAAAAAGTACCCCCACCAGTGCCACTCCGTTGTCGAGTGCGCAGTGGCTAGTGGACGCCCTCCGGCAACGGGTCTTGCGACCGCCGACGACTGGCTTCAACCCCACATGCGAGTGACGGCTGGCAGCGGCGCGCACTGACGTTCACGACGTGTGTCAGCTGGCGGTCGGTGACCTTCGTCTAGCCTTCTGCTTGCTTCTTCGCTGCGCGTATGGCGAGCACGTGCATGACGGCTGTTTTGGCTCTTCATCTTGGCTCTGACGCCCCAATTCACCCACCATTTTGGTGTGCATCGAGGCCCTCTTCTTGGTCTTCCTCGGCCTGGCGGACCTCCTGGGCTTCTCGGGCTCCGCCGCCCGAGCGACTGCGTAGCGCGCTCCGGTGGCTGTGGCTCCCTCTTTGGCCGTACTTTAGATCGTGGCTCTGTTACTTCGCTTCTTGACGGCGTGCAGGCAGTTGCTCTGTGTCGCTCGCGAACAAAAAATATCCCCACCAGCCCACCACTTGGCAACGATGTTTAGGCGGGTTGTATTGACCAGGAAAGCGTTGGAGCACGCAGTGGAACAAAGAGGGGGGGCAGTTGTCAAACCGAAGATGGGGATCAACCTTCGCGGATATTTTCGATGTGGGAGCCTGCTGGCAGCTTACTTGGGCAATCATGGGGCCGATTTGGAGGTTTTTGGCGCTTTCTTGGGGCCCTCTCGGGGCCCTCTTGCGGCTCTCTTGGGTCCTGGGGGCCGTTATTGGGGCCATCTTGGAAGCCATCGACCAAAGAAGGGGGGGTCGTGTTAATCCCCCCCAGTCGGAGACTGAAATAATTCCTCTCGGGCCACCTTGGGACGATATTGAGGCGCTGTTGGAGCCGTCTTGGGTCTTGGGCACCTCTTGGTGCTTTCGTTGGCCAATTTGGGGCCATCTTGAGGCCTGTTGCTCCCATCCGGAGCGAAAGAGCGATAACACAAAACACACTGATTCCCCACAGGTTTCGGATGGGTGTGGGACATCCGGGGGGGTCCTTGAAAGGCTCCGTGGCCACTTGGATCCATCTTGGGACGTTCATGGCGCTTCTTGTAGGAATCGTGGAAGCTATATTGAGCCATGTGCCGCAATCTTGTACGATTTCGGCGGCCATCTCGGGCTACTCGGCGCCGTTTTGGGGCCACGTTTGGCAATCTTGAACGCTCCAATGCCTCGCGTAACGCCCGGCCTAGACCCAGGGATATGGGGGAGGGGGAAAGGTGGGCTTTTCCCTCAAGAGGTAGACAAGTATTGGAAGAACCAACTCATTAATTACTACGCCCTGAATGGGTGGTGGGATTCTTGTCAGAGCGCAACCCAAGATCAGGCCTGGGGTCGACTTTGGGGCCTGTGACTCCGCCGTCGTCGTCGTCCTCGTCGTCCTCGTCGTCGTCGTCGTCTTCGCCGTCGTCCTCGCCGTCGTCTCTGCCATCGTCGTCGCCGTCGTCGTCGTCTTCGTCGTCGTCCGAGGGTCGAACATCGAATATTCAAGGTTTTTGGTGTTGTCGTCATCTTCGCCTTCGTCGCCGTATCAAACCCCCGACGTGGTAGTCTGTTCTCTGTGAGCAGTTGTCCTCTATTTCCGCCCCTGGGGGTGGGGAGGGCGCTTGCGGGACCAAGGACCGTCAATGATCGATCCGCGAGGAAAGTGTTCCGCCCACCCGCTATGGAAGGGTCACAGGCCGTCGTCGCCACCGCTGCCGCCGAGGGATGTCTTTCGCATCTTCCGGCGTCCTGCCGAGGGCCATTTCTGGGCACAGGGCCCTTTGAAGGAGTCGAAAACTCGGGGGCCAGAAGCTGTTATCGGGGTTAAAATCCGGTCCCAATGAAGGGGTCGAGAGCTTGGGGACCACGCCTTGAGAGAACCCACGACGTCAGAGGTTTGGGTCGTCGCCGATCAAAGATCGAGGATCGAGGATCGAGGTTTTTTGGCGGCTTGTCCAGCCTTCCGGCGACCTCCGCGGAGGTTGCCAAGAGACCTCATCGCCTCGGTCGTCGTCGTCGTCGTCTTTGTCGTCGTCTTTGTTCTCGTCGTCGTTTTCATCGCCGTCGTCGTCGTCAACGTCAGCGCCCTTGTCGTCAACGTCAACGCCGTCGTCGCCGTCAACGGCGTCGCAACGCCAACGCCCACGTCGTCACCGCCGTCGCCGCCGCCGCCGCTGACGGACGGGGGTGTCCTTGGGAGGCTCCGTTGCTATTTCGAGCCATCTTGGCGCCGCTTGGAGGCATGCGGGAAGCTATATTGGGCAATCTTGAGCCGTCGTCGTCGTCGTCGCCAGGTCGTTGCTGCTCGGCGGCGCCGAGCTGCGGGAGGGCACGACCCTCGCCGAGCTCGGGGCGTCCGCGGGCGCGGCGCTCACGCTGGAGGGCACGCCGCCGCGGCGTCGCAGATCGCCGTCGCCGCGGCGTCACCGTCGTCGCCGTCACCGTCGCCGTCGTCTTCGTCGTCGTCTTCGTCGTCGTCGCCGTCGCCGTCGCCGTCGCTGGCGCCGCTCAGGGCGGACGGTGGCCGCGTAAATCCGCCGAAGTTTTCGGAAGTGTTTTGTTTGTTTAGTTCGCATCGGAATGCTTTCCAGCAGATGCACCTCGCCGAGGGCGTTCTTGAGGTGCTAGAATTAAGTCGGGCCTGTCCCTCTACAGGAGGAATATTCAAAAACAGTTAGAAAATAGTATGGCGACGAATTGTCGAATCTTTGTTGGCAATTTTTTGATATTTTTTTGTATATTGCATTTTTCGTCCAAAATTCGCCTGTGGGGGGGCATGCCCGACCTAATGCTAGAACTGTCCTAAACGGCCGCCGAATGCCCGTATGATGGTCCGAACGCCGACCGACCCATGTAGCAAACCGACCTCTCGGGGCCGCCGATGGCCGCCGAAGGCGCCGCCTGGGCTCGCCGCTTGGTCCGTCGTGGTCCGTCGTCGTCGGCGCCACCATCTCCATTGCTCATCGGTCCTGTCGTCTTGCATCAGCGTCTTCGTCAAGGTCAGCGTCGAGGGCAGCGTCGACATCGACGTCGTCGGCGTCGTCAATGCCGTCGTCATCGTCGCCGTCATCGTCGTCGTCGTGAGTGACGACGTCGTCTTCGCCGTCGTCGTCGACCGTGAGCGTCAATGTCAACGTCAAAAGCAGCGTCAACGTCCTCGTCGGCCTCGTCAACACCGTTGTCATCGTCGAGGTTGTCCCTGGGAGGGCCCGCCCAGTTCGGCCCAGATCGCCGCGCGGATCGTCGTCCGAGCATCGAGGTCCGAGGCCTGTCATTGCGGAGCCTCCAGGAGGCTCCCCGTCGTCACGGCAGGATACCATTCGAAGACCTGGCCGGGGTCGAGCTGTGAGAGGGGTCGTTGTCGCAATCGTGATCGTCTTCGTCGTCGCGATTACCGTTGCCGTCGCCGTCGCCGTCGTCGCGTTCTCGGCTGGCGGGCCGATTCGGCTCGCGTCAGGTCCATCTCGGGTCGGCTCGGCTCCAGGTCTGACGGGTCCACTTCCAGGCCCCCAGTCTGGAGCCCCTCCGCGGAGGTCCCCGGAGGCGTCTGGAGACCTTTCGACGGTCTCCCGGAGACCATCTGAAAGTCTTCCGATCAGGTATCGAGGGTGGTTTGGGTCTCGCTCTAACCAGGGCGCCACTAGGTTGTGATCCCGCCGTTTGCGGGCACGGCTCTGGGCTCGCGGGCATTTCATGGCACCTTCTCGTCGTCGTTGTCATCGTCGTCCGTCGTCCGTTGTCAGCGAGATCGTTGTCGTGGCTCGGTCTGGGCTGTTTCACCATCAGCAGCGATCGGCGAGTATATCCATATCAATGTCTTCGCGGTCGCGGTCTGGACACCGAGGCGCGATCCCAAGGGTACGCGATCCCATAGACACGCTGTGTGCGGGGCATCCGTGCAAAGCCGCAATGGGGTCATGGCCCAGGAGTCCAGACCGCGAGGCTGTGGATGACGTCGCAATCTTTTCCTGGGCTGGGCCTGGGGGGATCTCGACACCTCGCCCGGGGCCGCTTGTTCACCGAGCAGGTTTTAGTGAACGGGCTTTCATGGGCCCTAACTCAGAATTTCACAACTAGCGTCGCAATTTATCGCAATCCTCTTAAAAAGTTGGCCGCATGGCATTTCGACACACCGCACTCCTCACAAGTTTAGCGTCCCCACAGGGAGCGCCACCTACGGAAGCAGTCACGGCGCCCGCACGTAGTCTTTCTCTTCATTTTGGTACACCCCTTCAAGCGGATCGTGCTTCATTGGGAGTTGCAGCTACGGCACCAGTGAGGGCGCGCGTGCGGTCTGAGGTCCTTTCGCCCATTTCTGCACACCCCTCACACGTATTGCGCACCACAGTTAGGGGGAACCCACCTTCGGCACCAGCGAGGGCGCCCGCATGCGGTCCTTCCGCCCATTTCGGCACACCTCTCAGACGGATCGTGTCCTTGCGCTTCCCTGCCCATGTTGGCACACCCTCACACGGATCTTGCCCCTACAGGAAGCTCAGCCTGCTCGGCAACCTCCTTTTCCCTTTGCCCGAATTGTATCCCTCCCACGGCGCGCAATCTATGAGGAGAGGGCCACGCCCTACGCTACACGCATTGCTCATCTGCGGCAGGTTAAATTTGCGACGACCACGCCGCGGCGACAGCGACGGGGACGGCGACGACGACCCCCTTCAAAAGCAGGCACATCGGATAACAAAATCCGGCCTGCCAGCAAGTTTTCCTCGAACAATTTTTGTCCTCCGATAGCCCCAGGGATCAACGAAGAACTTGCCCCCAGATTTCTGATTGCAAGATTTCTAATCGTACGTACCTACTGCACCCCTGAGGCAAGAAACCTCGATCCTCGAACCTCAGCAACGACGGACTGGATGGTGACCTCCGCGCGCCCTCCGTGCCTGGCCGGACGCGCAGGGGAGGCCCTGGGATCTGGCGTCCAGGCGGTGCTCGGTGGACTTGGGACCTCGTCGTCGTCGTCGTCGTCGTTGTCGTGGCCGTCGCCGGTGTCGTCGTCGTCGCCGTCGTCGTCGCCGACGTCGTCGTCGTCGTCGTCGTCGTTGGCGTCGTCGTCGCCGTGGGTCGGTTCCGCCGGCTCGCCCACGCAGGTGGTGACCCCGCCTCTGCACGTGCTCTGTGCCTGCGCGGACGCGCAGGGGAGGCTCTGGGACCTCGGGTCCGGGCGGTGCGTGCAGTCGCTGCGGGGGCACGCGGCGCCCGTGAAGAGCGCCGTGGCCTCGCCTGACGGCCGGCAGGTGCTCACCCGTGGGGAGCAGAGAGGGAGCGATCTTCAGGAGAAGAGTGAGGGGGCGGCGGGGTCGTCGGCAGTCTGCGAGCCTCGGAAGAAGCCCGCCGCAGGCGCCGATTTTTGTACCAACCATCCAACCATCCTGTGGTCTTGGGTCTTCGTTTCGAATCAGGGTCGCTCCGCGTTCCCGTTCCTCCGCTTCTCTCCTCTCCTCTCCTATCTTCTCCCCTCCTCCTCTTTCGGCCCTCCTGTCAACAAGGACGGCACTCCCAGGACACCAGACGCCTGGGCCAAGCTTTTGAAATGCCGCCACCCGAAGCGGCCGAGGGTGACCATCCTGTCCAGCACGATGGCTGCACTGTGCCCGTGAGCTTTTTGGGTGGATTGTCGGCTTTTTGGATTGATGGTCTTCCTCTCTCAACTTGCGGAAGCCGCGTGGGCTCGTTGCTGGCGCTGTCGCCTGCTCTCCGCTCCAGTCTTTCGCTTTCGCGACTCTGGAGCGGGAGCTCCTCGCGCCACGCTACCCAGCCCAGCTGCATGGTGGTGGCGCCTTGCTGCGGTGCATGTCGAAAACCCCTCCTCCTCCTTCCTCCTCGTAGCTATTTTGGCTCAATATGATGTGTTCTCCTGATAACGAAGCGGACGCCGTTTATCCGCGGCCTGTTCCCATCCATTCACACCTTTGTCGGGGACTCCAACGGTTCCTCCTCTTCTTCATCCACGCGGTATTGGTTCGTGGTGGCGCGAACCTAGCACAGCGGTTTCCTGACGGCATCCCCGCGGCGCCGCAGTCACAGCTGACAACATGGGCTTCTCCACCAAAGTTTTTCCTCGTAGTGCCGAGCGTCACCGGATTCGTGGCAGTCGGGAGCGCTTTCTCGGCAACAGCAACAATCAAATCGTGATCAACAACGAGATCCATGGCAAGATTCTGCTGCCGAGATCAACAATGGTCAGATCGAGCCCACCCGAAGCGAAATGGAAACCATATTCGAGGAACGTATTGACCAAACATTCAAACAGTTTAAGAAGACAACCAGCGAGCCCACGATGGCAGCGCAGAGCCACTTCATGGCACACGTATGCAAAGTCACGGCCTCGGTCACTGAGCGGCAAGAGCACACAGAGTCCATGCTCGCGGAAGTCAAAAATCGCTTCGCCGTTGCCGGCAAGAGTGCCGCCGACCTACGCACCGCAATCACCAATCTCCAGCAGTCCATCGCGCAGGCCGGGGCCCAGGTCCCCTCAGTCGACCTTGCCGCCGTCGACGGCCTGGGACAGACCTGGCCACATCGGCACGTGCTTGCGCGGCTGCATGCAATACGTTACCAAGGCCGAGCTCCGCGAGGCCCTCCAGCCCTGGCTCGGTGCAGCCGAGGTGAACGTCAATTGCGTTCGCTTCAGCAACAACGCCCCTAACACGCGAGTCTCCATCACGCTGCTCGGAGGCGACGCGGTGGTCATCCCGCGCGGCAAGGCTCCATCATCATCTTCGTTTCGGCCGCGACTGGCGTCAGTTCTCTGCCCGTTCGGGTGACCAGACCGTCCCCCTGTACGTCGGTGCCAACAAGAGCCCGAAGCTTGTGCGGCTGGGGGTGCAACCCGGGAAACCTTCCAGGTTCCTGATTATCAATGACAATTTTGATGGCATCTCGCGCAGAGCCCACCCTAACGACGGCCACCTCTCTGTCGACTGTCCGCCTGCACATCGGCGCGAAGCCAAACGACGCAACGAAGAGGCGCAGTGGTCCGACGCGGCAGCTGCTGTTGGCGTCGCGCCCGCTGCTCATCAAGAGCTCGCGGGCGAATTCGCCCACTGTCGCGAACCCGCAGGCGGCAGTGTCGTGGTTTTGACAACGGATGGGTACCAAGGCGCGACGGCAATAACAAGGATGGCACCGACGCGGTTTCCAATCCATCTGTGGCATCTCCCAATCGCGTCGCGGTGCCAACCGCCGCTTGCTGGCCGTTACCTCCGCCTGCCCAGCTTGATCTGGCTCCGGGATTTCCACGGCGCAAGCGACATGCCCAATTTGACGGCCAACAGCAACCAGCATGCAGCGCATCATCCGGGTATCGATTGCAAACTAGCCGCTGGGGGCATGGTTTGCCCGGCCCCTTATTAGCACTGACTGCTGCGACAGCCACTCGGATAAGAAGCGCATGCATGATGTCAGCGAAATCGCGCCAGGTCGCATCGCCATCGCGAACATCACCGGCAACGCGAAGCGATGGCGCAGCATAAAATTCAGCGTGCGCAGCGACGACCCATCCACGACCAGCAGACGTGACTCCATGGCGCCGCGGTGAACCGCCATGCCGTTGGTGCGCCCAGGCCCCGCGAAGTACACGGTGATCACGGTGAGGGGCCTCGGCCTCTTCTGATCAGCCGCCGCGCAGCGCGGCGCTCCTTGCGGGCGTCGCCTCGCTTCCGCTACATCGGCAGCCGACGCAACTCTGGTGCGACATCTCCATGGGCGTTATCGAGGCGACAACCCGAGCGACCACTCATTGGCGCTGCGCGAACGACGGCGAGGCGATCATCGACCGCGCCTCCATCTCCTCGGAAGCGCACGCCGTCCCGCACATGGAGGCCGCGATCGCCGCGAACGACGAGCCCGTCTAGAAGATAGGCGCGTCCTCCAGCGACCGCGAGGCCCCCCATCTCCGCGCCCGCCCGCGAGATCAGCGACCGCCATCTGACAGAGCGACCCCGCCCATGATCTTCAAGGGCGTCTTCCACAAGCACTACGTCACCGAGCTCGACAACTGCGATGGACTTCTTCCCTCGGCGCAGCGGCTAAATGGAAGGGGTCTCAAGGGCAGCGCGCGCGCGGCCGCGCAGCCCGCGCGCGGGGCGACTGAAGCTCCACCCAGATGTCCTGAAAAACAAGCGCGGGGAACTCGCCGAGGAGGCGAGCTCCATGGCCATGCAAAGCATCGCGAGAGCTGTTTAGCATCGGGATGCGCCGCTTGCCAGATTGCTCATCGACGACCCGCACCTTGGCGCCGGGCGCCTGCAGGTCCACGACGACGCGCCGAGCGCGAGCCCCAACGCGAACATCTGCATCCGCGACCTCCCGAAATTCAGCATCGAAGCCGCCGCGGGCCACCCTGGCGCGGCCGATGAGCGACGAGCGCGCAGCAGCCCAAGCACGACGAGCACGCGCTGCCCATCGCTCTCGCGGCGGCGACCGCTGGCGAGAGCGGGCATCTCGCATGCTGCGGCGCTGAGAACTTTGGAAGTCCTTCGCGAAGCAGCTGGTCCTCAATGGCGTGAAGATTGTCGCATTGTCGCCGCTGGCATTTCCCGCGTCGAGACTGACCCGATCAGCATTCATCGCGCCATCCACGCGCGCTGGGCACAAGGCACAGGACACGATGCAGAACCTGGACAAGGTCTCCCCCATGATGGAGACGATCGACATTGCCATCCCAACGAGCAGGACCTCGAAGCTGCGGCCGAGCACGCAGCCGACCCCGCCCCTGACCAGATCGCACTTCCACGCGATTCTGGCGCGCTCCGCCCGCTTTCAGCGAAGAACGGCGACGTGAAGATCATCGCCCCTGCCTGCAGCCAGAAGCCCTGCCCCCCGCCCCGTCAGCGGCGCGCAACGTGTCCAGGGATGTGTCCCTGGACAGCAATGCTTCACCAACGTAGTCAAAATCGAGGCGTGCTGCCCCAAGGTCAGCACCCCTCACGATTCTGCAGCGTTGCAGCCCTGCTTCCTGAGTGAGGACTTCTCTGCGGCGTTTCCCAGCCTCCTGCATTTTTGGCTCGTTCCTGCAGCTGCTTCACGCCTGTTGCCACAATCAGCTCGCCTTCCTACTGCTGGGCAATGCGATCCGCCCACTCTTTTTCGCTGACGGCGGAGTTGCACAAGTGTGTCCTCGAAGTGGATCTATATGGGCGCTCGCGTTTGAGCCGATTCCCCTTGGCGCCGACACCGCACTCAAGCCAATTCTCCGCAGTAGATCAGTTCGAGGTTCCACCCGCAGTGTGGCGGCAGCACTGCCTGCGCATGCCCCGATGACGCCGGTTGTGCTCCTTGTCCTTCGCGATCTGCTTCGCCCGTTACTTCGCATGTGCGCCGGTGCTGACGTCGCAGGCCTTCCCCTTCAGTCGAAGAAATGCGCCCCGGCACCGCTGTGGACAGCTCTAAGCGATCACCTAGCTGATTGACAAGCACCGCCACGACTAGGGCCACCTTCACTATCAGCGGTGCGGCCAAGTGCCTGGGCGCGCACATCGTCTTGGCTGCGTCGCGCGCGAGTCAATGGCAGACGCCCGCGGCCACGCGGCGGTCGCGTCTCCGGATACTGGCGGCGTCTAACCGCCCGCCCCAATTCTGCGCCCAACTCTACAGCGCCCCGGCAATCGCGACAATGTCCAACCTCGGACAGCCGGGCAGTTCTTTCCCCCGATCGCGATGTTCCTCGCCAAGCAGACCCACGCGCTCCACGAGCTGATGCGCGCCGTTCTGTCTGCCAGCACGCTGGTGGGAATCCTGGCCATGCGCGCGTGGCGTGGCGCAGACGCCCGGGCTGGTCGCGGCCGCTGCGCGGATGGCGACATCGCGCGCCTTGCGTGGTTGGGGCGTCGTATCTGTTGCTTCGCCAGACTGCTGGAGAATGCTTACCCTGGTCAAAGTTATCAACGGGCAATTGCGCGCCGATTGCTGGGCCACCCCGATCTTTCAGCGAGCGCTTCCAGTCCGCAGTCGACGGCAAGTCCGACCCCGTGGGCAAGGGCCCCTTCCACGCATGCTTCCGCCTACCCTGTTGGGGAACGACCGAAGCGCGGCGCGACATTTCACAATCGCCCACCGCCAGCGCCCGGGGCACGGCAGAGAACTGGGCGGGGCAGCCCGGCCAAACGACGGCATCACCAACAATGAGGATCGCCGCCCACGGCGAAATGACGACCGACAGCTTCAGCATAAGCCGAAAACGCCGCATGGCCTAACTCCAGCGTAGCCCCTAAGAAGACACCATAGGCTCTACTGTCCCGAAGTGCCCTCA